ATGAACACGTGCATCTATCAACATCCCACAACTGCAAAAAATTCAGTGAATCTGAAGCATCATCTTTATGGTTTTAAAAAATAATAATAAAGTAGGACACCTGGGTGGCTCAGTCAGTTAAGCGTCCTACTTCAGGTCATGATCTCATGGTTCATAGGTTTGAGCCCTGCATCAGGCACAGAGCCTGCTTTGGACCCTCTGTCCATGTCTCTCTCTGTCCCTCCCCTGCTCTCAAGTGCTCGCTCTCTCTCTCAAAAATAAACATTAAAAAATAAAAAATAATAATAAAGTAGAGAGAATCAGGAGCTCTGCAACAATATCATGGAATCCTTCTGTTAGTCCTAGCCCTGCCATTAACTGGCCATGGGCCCTTGCCCAAAGTACCTACCTTCTTTAGTTTCCTGTCTATAAAGTGATGGGTATGACAGAGGCGATACACGTGGTTCATTTCGAAGTCCACTGTTGCATTGCTATTACACATGAAAATCCTACACATCTTGGGGCGCCTGGGTGGTGCAGTCGGTTAAGCGTCCGACTTCAGCCAGGTCACGATCTTGCGGTCCGTGAGTTCGAGCCCCGTGTCAGGCTCTGGGCTGATGGCTCGGAGCCTGGAGCCTGTTTCCGATTCTGTGTCTCCCTCTCTCTTTGTCCCTCCCCCGTTCATGCTCTGTCTCTCTCTGTCCCAAAATAAATTAAAAAATGTTGAAAAAAATTAAAAAAAAAAAAAAGAAAATCCTACACATCTTACTGGTAACTAAAGGCCAAGGAAAGAATGGGCCTTTAGAGCTTTACACCACTGGATTCTGACTTTTTCTATTCATATGCTCCTTTAACAAGCTAATGAAAGCTTAACTTCCTCTCAGAATAGTGAACATATGAATATGCAAAGATAATTCTGCACCGTTTCAGAGATTTTACTAACTTCCTGAAGCCTGTCCACTGAGTTCCACGTGAAAAACTCTCAGTCTGAAAGGAGGCACGGTCTCATTTTTTCTCTTGGGGAAATATTCATCTGGAATACAGAAGCTGCAAGAGCTTAAGCATCGATGGTCAAGCAAGGTCAATAGAAGATATTTTGTTACAGCATGAACAACAGGAAGAACACAACACTCCCTAGGAAGTATTCTTGCCAAAAATGTCAGACAGGAATCTCATGAAGCCTTCAGATCCAACTACTATCTTACAAGGAATACAGGGGTCAGGGAAACATGTTAAAAAATACCATGGGGGAGGCAATCAGTAAAATCTGGTTTTACTGGGAAGACTCTACAGGATTTGTCTTTCCTTGGCGGCCATTCTTTCTGACGCCATGACCTGGGACCTCTTGTTCCCTCTCAACCATGAGAGTCCCTTAAGGATCGATGTTTTCTAAACACACCTGGCCACCAGCACCTTCCTTTTTCTTCTCATTTGTATCTCACGTAGTCTATTCCATCCAATCCACTACTGCTCTATCTTCTTCCCAAGACCAAGGTTAACAAACTCTTACGGAGGGCCTGCCACAGCCTTCTGGAAACTGGAAACAATATTCACGACTTAAAGGTGAGTTGGCCAGAGCCTGGGCCTTTAAGCGTCCTTACAATTACGCTTAACTGGGGTAACTGGGCAGTTGCTTAATGTGCAGTATATGCATTCCCCACTCTTGCTCTCTCTCTCAAAAAAAATATTTTTTTTTTTAAAAAAGAAGGCAATTAGCCTTTATCCCTTGAGTTCTTTAAAAAAATAGCTTAAAAATAAGTGCAGCAATTTGCAGTTGACCTATCTAAAATCAGAAAGCTGAAAAAAAAAAAAAAAAGACCTATTCTTGCCCTTCTTTCCAGCTCTGTGATTCCAGAAATTTACAGGTCATTTTACTCTCCTTAAAAATTGTAAAATTAAAAGAATATGATGAAAGTCTAAAAATCCAATAGAAAACATGTAACTAAAGTGAATCCATTTCAGCTTCTTATTTGTTAACTAAATTTTTTAAAGTAAACTCTTCTAAAATAGAATAAATTGTATGGGCTCATTTTCCTAAAGTTATTCTTGACATCCATAGGTCTACCAATATACACAGATAGAGAGTATCTGAAATAATATTCACCAATTTACCAATGGCTGACTGTGTGGTAGAATTAGGCAGTTTCTAAAAATATTTTTTCTTATACTTTCTTGTATTACTTCAAAATTTTTTATCCTAAGCATGTATCATTTTTACCAAACAGGCAACCAACCAATAATTTTTAAAAATCCACCATTTCTTTTAAAATCCAATGGAGCACCACAGATTGGAAGTTATAAGGAAAATCTTCACACGATGGTTCTAGAAGAGATGACTTCTCTCCAGTCTTCTCAAATGGCACCACCAATTTTTCCCTACCCTGGTCCTGCTACAACACCAGAAGTATTTTGCTCGAGGTTAACTCCCATAAATCCCAACTCCCACACACTGGTGTAAAATGACGCATGGCCGAAATCCACGGGGCTAAGAGGTCACTGCCACTTCAGACATGCCTGCAAAGTACGGAAAAAGAATCATTCCCATCACCAACCACTGAGAGGGAGTTTCAGGAGGCGGTGTGCAGCCTGGCTCTTGCACAACCTACAGATGGATGTTCTCCTCTGTGAGGCTGGGTCCATGTGAACACAATCCAGAGCTGACCTGAACCCTGAGTCAAAACAGATGATCAGGCATCGCCCAGGTCCATCAGAACACTGCTCGCCACCACACAAACAAGTTCCTCATTTGCTCTATTTTTATCTTATCTCCCTTTTGTCTCTTTCTTGTGTTCAGAGACGTTAGTGATCATAGAACACTTTAAAAGAGCACTCTCTCTAAGCACCCCCAAAGCTTTCTTTTAGTCTTTTTTTTTTTTTTTTTTTTTTTTTTTTACTGTTTATTTATTGTGAGAGAGAGGGAGAGACAGAGACAGAGTGTGAGCAGGGGAGGGGCAGAGACAGAGAAGGAGATACAGAATCAGAAGCAGGCTCCAGGCTGTAAGCTGTCAGCACAGAGCCCAACTCAGGGCTCAGATCTATGAACCGTGAGATCATGACCTGAACTGAAGTCGGATGCTTAACCCCTGAGCCACCCAGGTGCCACTTTCCTTTAGTCTTGGAAATTCCAGAGGAATTTTGCAAGGTTTTGTTGCCAGAGTGGACAAGCAGAGCTAGTGTGCTTTAGGTAATTTTATTAGTATTTGGGAATGAGGTTGCCTTTATAGCTCTCACCCCTGGGAGAGGCTTCTTCCTACTATCTGGTTTTACAACTCACACTCCCAAAAGGGGCAGGAGGTGATGACATCAGAAGACCAGAATTAAAATCCTAACTCTAAAAAGTTCATCCCTGAGCTAACACACATTTATGAAATGCCTAGAAGCCAGACTCCGGCGCTTGAAAGATGGAAGACATAATCCCAGCTTTCGAGAAGCCTGCAGTCCCAGAGTGCAGAGTTATGTGATGAGTGAAGAACGGGGTGGAGTCAGGGAGGTGGCTGCGCCCAAGCAGGGGCTCCCGGCTTCCACAGTGGGGTGGGGATCCTAAACTCTCTGCCCCTCTGGAAGATCTTAAGACCAGAAGAGGTGGTTTCTTCATGGGTGGGGCACCCAACCCGTGCAGGAAAATTCAGAAAACAATTGTGGAAAAAGATAACCCTTGAACTACGTCTGGAAGTCAGGGGAGCTGTTACAGGCAGTAAGGCAGTGAGTATCCAAGCACAGACCAAGGCAATGACACCCACAAATTCATGTGCACATGCAATACATTGCACATGCATATCAGCTCTCAATCACTGATCTCCATGAGCCCCTGATTCTTTATCTGGGGACAATAACCCTTGTGTGGCTACATCAAGAGCTGTTGCTTGTGTTAAATAAACACCACCAAAGGGCTGTGTAAACTGGGAAGTCCCATTATCACCATGATGATGGGACTCTGTCAAGATTCAACTCAAGGATGACACTGCTATGTGGTGGAAAGAATCCCACCCTGGCTTTGCCACTAACCCACCATCTATCCTCTGCCACACCCCGGCCTCAGTCTTCTTCATCTGCAAGTCAGTGGTTTGGATGGAGCTACACTAAAGTCCCTTCCAATGTTGCCATTTTATTTCAAAGTCCCCTTTAAATTGCTAGCAATTAGCACATGGCTCCCCGCCCCCAGACTATCTCTTTATTCATTCTTAACCTTTACCTTGGCAGACGAAGCATAAGATTCATCAAGCACATTAGACAACCCCTGGCATATTTCCTGTTTTCCTCCATCCCCCCTGCAGGTCACGGACACACAGAACCCAGGCTTTTCAGGGCTCAGTTGGGACACGGCTGCTGGCCAGTTAACAAAGGCTGCATTTCTCCCAGGGGCCAAGGAAGTCCGGTGTAGGCCCGGTTGTTTGGATTTGAGGTGTGCTGGGGATGAAAGGCACCCTGGGAGCGGAAGGCTCGGTCATTCATTCATTAATTATAATTGACGGTTTGTTCTTAAGAATGATCCTTTGAAATTACTTTCCATCAAACAGTGACTGCCACAAAGGCATCAGATATTCAGAACATTCTCCATTTCCTCAGCACGAGTATTTTCATTCTAGGACCTGAGATTCTGATCTGGCTCTTCCCTTGGGAGTCTCTCCCACCCTCGCTTTAGAGGTGGGGTTTATTTACTTGGGGCTGGCGGAGAGGGCATGTGTGTCAGTGTGATTAATGTCTCCCTTTTAAAAGGAAATCTATACTACACCAAATAACCTTTTTGTAGACTTCAGTCTGACCGTTTTCAGATAAGTGGACAATAGAAAAATTCCACGGAAAGATTAGAAAAACGCCTGAGACTAGTACCCACCTAATGTTGTGGGCCACACCTCTGGGTTACAACTGGAAGGGAGAAGCAAACTGGTATATTGATGTGGCTCTAAACAACAACAATGTGTGTGAAGGCCCGGGGCATTTCGGGATTGACCAAGAGGAAACATATGTTGCACAATGATACGATCTTGTTGGTACAGTTGTCAGAGAAGGGAACTCCCACAGCAAAGGGCATAAAACCATCCGGAGCAGTCTGGGGCAGCTCAGTTCTGTAGCGCCAGGGAGCGGAGCAGAGCCCAGCCCTGCACCAAACACAGATGGGACCATGATCTCCAGCCACAACTTTAGCCAGACCCTCTCAGGCTCCTTCCATGGCACAGGAGGCAGCTGGGGCCAGCTGGGGAGCTTCCCTCGGGCTCCCAGTGTCCACGGGGGTGCCGGGGGCGTCCGTGTCTCCCTTTCCTTCAGCTCGCCAAGCTGCCTGCCTCCTGGAGGGTCTTGGGGATCCAGAAGAGGCAATTCCCTCCCAGGCAGGAATGGGAAGGAGATGATGCAGAACCTCAATGACCGCCTGGCCTCCTACCTGGAGAAGGTACGTGCCCTGGAGGAGGCCAACGAGCAGCTCGAGAGTCGCATCCTGAAGTGGCATGAGCAGAGAGATCCTGGCAGTAAGCAAAATTACTCCCAGTATGAGGAAAACATCAGCCACCTGCAGGAGCAGGTAAGATCCTGGGTGACCCTGGAACTCGAGAAGGGCTGTGTTTCCAGAGAGCCGTGGAAGGAGAAATAGGTACAAAAGACAATTTCCAGGAATATGGCAAAACAGCTTAAAGTCATTGTGAACAAAGGTATTTGAGGATATTTTCTTACTATCCCTTTTGGACCCGGGAAACTCTGTTCTGTATATTTCATCTTCTATACACAAATTATGCAGAGAATCCAAAAAAATGCCAAAAGGCAACCAGGTACTGTCCAGTATCAGTTATGATCCAGCAATGTTATAGTAATGATAAGGGCTGGTATTCATCCTTCACGCTCAGTGCACAAGGCACAGGACAGCATTTACTTTCTCACTACATCAGTTCTGTTCCACCACAAAAGTCCTGGTGACAGAGTGATGACCCACAGAAAGAAAAGCTGAGTTACATTATTTTGGAGATCACACCTAAAAGCTGTCACTCCACTAGCCGGTACATTATTCTGACATCCCTGGATATTTCCTCTTGAGAGCTGCTAAAAGCTCTGAGTCCTTATTGCTTACAGTTCTGAAAAGGGCATATTGCTTGAAAAATAAGAATAATTAATTACCCAATTAATTTATGTTTATTATATTCATAATAAAAATATGTATATTGGAAAGGAAAAAAGAAAAATAAGAATAAAATGAGCATAATTTTTGGAATCTTACAGTAGGATGGGTAATGGAGACTTCTTTAAAAAAAAAATTCAATCAGACATTTAAAAAGCTACGCTTGGGGCACCTGGGTGGCTCAGTCGGTTGGGCATCTGACTTCGGCTCAGGTCATGATCTCGCGGTCCGTGAGTTCGAGCCCCATGTCGGGCTCTGTGCTGACAGCTCAGGGCCTGGAGCCTGCTTCGGATTCTGTGTCTCCCTCTCTCTGACCCTCCCCCGTTCATGCTCTGTCTCTCTCTGTCTCAAGAATAAATAAATGTTAAAAAAAATTTTTTTTTTTTTTTTAAATAAAAAGCTAGGCTTATACCTTCTGGGATGTCTCATAACATTGGTTAGAAGTAGAGGGAATCCAGTTACCTCATAAGATTTTAAGTGGATTTTTTTTTTTTTTTTGAGAGAGAGAGACAGAGAGAGCACAAGTGTGGGAGGGGCAGAGAGAGGGGGAGAGAGGGAGAATCCCAAGCAGGCTCCGCATTGCCAGCACAGAGCCCGACATAGGGCTCAAACCCACAAAACCGTGAGATCATGACCTGAACTGAAACCAACAGACGTTTAACCGATTGAGCCACCCAGGTATCCCATAAGATAATTTTTTAAAGCTATATAACTTCCCTCTTATGTAAAGCAGTCCCAGAAAATTCCCCAAAAGATCATAATTTAGCACATCCTAGAAAGGGCGTCAAGGTTTCCAATATTATTCAGTGTTATTTTTCAACCTTTGGTCATCCTTACTTGAATGTAAGAAAGACCAATCAAGATAATGTAAATCTGTCCTCATAATGAGCCCTAATTATTGAATAATCAACCTAATAACTGACTGTGTAATTACCTTAACTATATAGTACATGGTTGTCTTTAGAAAAAAAACAAGGTGACTCAACAAACCTCATCATATATTTTTTTTTAACTAATAAAAGCTGCTTTGGTTTTAGAATGGAGAATATAGAAGATTTTTGCAAATGGACAGTTGAGAACATAACTCCCAAAAGAAATGTGAGGTCAGACCTAGTCAAATAATTCACCGATAGTAGAGAGGAGGAGGGAACAGGAAAGAGGGAGGAAAACACGTATTGAGCGCTTATTATTTGCCAGCCGCCGTGTTGGATATTGTAATACACATATCAGCACTATCTGAGAGCTCTCTGCACTGATGGAAACATTCGATAGTACCTGATTCAATTCTTACAACGACGCTGTAAAAAGACAGGCTCAGAGTAGTGAAGCAGACACGAAAAGCCACCAGCGAGAGGCAGAGGTCGAATTCTAACCCAGATCTGTTTCTAATGGCCTCACAGTTTCCATACAGCATGGTGCTCACCTTGCCTATGTAATACAAAAATGGTACTGCTTGTTAATAAAGATAATGCATTACAATGGCATTGTTAATCATACAACACATTTCATACACATTATCTCATTTTGTGAAGCAGGTATTTTCACCCCCAATTTATAGATGAGGAGACTGAGACTGCGTGGTTGCCCAAATTCTTTGGAACAGGATTGAGAAAAGGAGCAGGTGGCTTGCCCACTCTCCAGGTGGCCCAGGATCCTGGGTTCTGACTTTGAAATTCTGGGTTACAAATTAAATTCAGGTTTGAATTCCACTCTTTTCTGGATTTCTTACTTCAGTTGTATTTTTTTCATGTTTGAAGAAAACAACTCTTTGACGTTGAGGTTGTTCTATCTGTCCCAATCTCCCCTGATTGCAGGCGAGAAAAGAGAGACCCAAAGATACAACAACCCACAACAACCAGGGGCTGACCCCTTCCCAGGCCTTGATGAAATGCTATCAATAGATATGGTACTCTTCCTGTCCCCACCTCAGGGGTCTTAAATGTTACTCAAAAAGTCTTTCAGAGGTGCCTGGGTGGCTCAGTCGGTTAAGCATCTGACTTCAGCTCAGGTCATGATCTTACCACTGGTGAGTTCGATCCCTGTGTCAGGCTCTGTGCTGACAGCTCAGAGCCTGGAGCCTGCTTCAGGTTCTGTGCCTCTCTCCCTCTCTGCCCCTCCCCCACTTGTGCTCTGTCTCTCTCTCTCTCTCTCAAAAATAAACACTAAAAACAATTTTTTTAAAAAGTCTTTTAAAAATGAACTCAAAAATTAATCCAACCCTCTTGAAACACCAAGTCAGATACAGCCATAAGGATATGTGTATTTTAGAAAGGCTCTCAATACTACTCTATTTGGTACTGTGGTTTACAATCAAAAATTCTATTTTCCTCTTCCTGGGACAAGATTACACACCCTGGAGCAGCAATGCTGTATTAATACACCAACTAGATCCTTTTAAAAGAATGAACTCAGAGCCTTGGGGGAGGATCCAGGTGATTAACTACAACACACAATGCAAAACCTACGCTTCACATATTATTTCTCAATCCGTCCTCATCATCCATTCATCACCGTGAAGGATGTCTCAGAAAGAGTGGATGTATCATAAAATTGCATCAAGTAAGCCTGAACTGGGGAAGTGGTTTTGATATTTAAATGTGCTCTATGGAAGGAAAAATAAGATAAAAACAGAGAGGGAGGCAAACCATAAGAGACTCTTAAATATAGAGAACAAACTGAGGGTTGCTGGAGGGCTGTTGGGTGAGGGGTGGGGGGGGTGGGCTCAATGGGGGATGGGCATTGAGGAGAGCACTTGCTGAGATGAGCACTGGGTTTCATATGTAAACGAGGAATCACTGGGTTCAACTCCTGAAACCAATACTACACTGTATGTTAACTAACTTGAATTTAAATAAATACATTTAAACAAACAAACAAACAAACAAACAAGCAAGCTCTAGATCAAGTGCACTTCAGAAGTCACCATTCATGTACTCTGAGAAGGATGCTGGCTGGGGGAATCAGACTCTTGATGTGGGGGTTGCAACAGATAAAGCATCAGTTTAACCCAGAAAAGCCAAATAAGCCCCCAGACAGCATTTTGGATTTTCTGATTCCATGGGGGAGAATAGTGTTTGGTTTCTCTGGATGTCTCTGATGATCCTGTCACCTCAGTAACCAGGGTCCCCAGGACCTTGTGGATGGAGCTGCTTTTCATTTCCTATGAGCTTAGATAGCATAGCACAAGGAGTAAAGAGCCTGGAAGGAAAAGCATTGATTGGTATGAGAGTCTCTAAGCAGCACTTTCAGAGGGGAGACCAGGAAATATCTACAGAATCCTTCTTTGGAGCAAAGGAAGTAGTCAGAGTACCACTTGGAATCCACTGGAAGAAAGAAGTTGGGCAAGGCAGGAGCCTGGCTATCTCCCACCACAAACAACAGAACTTTGGGGATGCATCTCAAAACATACAGAACCTGGCCTTTATCCAGCACAGACATTGGCTCTAGTTACGAAAGTGCCAACTTTTTTCTTTCTTTCTTTCCTTTTTAACTATATTCCTTATGCTGTACTTTTCATCCCCATGACTTATTTATTTTACAACTGGAAGTTTATATCTCTTAATCCCATTTGCCTACTTCACCCACTCCCCTCCGCCCCTCCTCTGGAAACCACCAGTTGGTTCCCTGCATTTACGAGTCCATTTCTGTTTGTTTTCTTTATTCTTTATTTCTTTATTTATTGTCTTTTAGATTCCCTATGTAAGTGAAATCATACGGTATTTGACTTATTTCTATCGTATTTTTCTGTCTGACTTATTTCACCTAGCATATATCCTCTAGGTCCACCCATGTCATCACAGAGGATATCATTCTTTTTATTGTTCAGTAGCATTTCATTGTATATATCTAGCACATCTTCTGTATCCATTCATCTATTGATGGACACCTACATTGGTTCTCGGCTATTATAAATAATGCTGCAATGAACACGGAGGTGCATACATCTTTTCAAATTAGTGTTTCTTTGTTTTATTTTTTTCAGGTAAATATCCAGAAGTGGAATTACTGGGTCATATGGCATTTCTATTTCTAATTTTTGAGGAACCTCCATACTGTTTTCCACTGTGTCTGTACTAATATACATTCCCACTCACAGTGCACGAAGGTTCCCTTTTCCCCACATCCACTCCAACACTTATTATATCTTGTCTTTTTGATGCTAGCCAATTCTGACTGGTGTGAGGTATTATCTTAATGTGGTTTTGATTTGCGTTTCCCTGATGATGAGTGATGTAGAGCATTTTTTCGTGTGCCTATTGGCCATCTAGATGTCTTCTCAAAAGCTCTTTCATAAAAAAAAGTTAAACACTTCAAATTTTTCTAAATTAATTTACTTTCAACTAATTTTTCAGTGTCTACAGTATGCCCAGAATATGCTAAGTATGTCATGACATTATTTTATTTAATCGCTTCCAATCTAATCCTCATAACTCTTTGATAAAGTGGCTACTATGATTATTATTGCCGTTTTATGGATGAAGAAACTGATACTTGGCAAGCTCACTCAGCTAGCAGGTGATAGGGCGGGACCCCAGGCCCTGCTTTTTGAGTTCCAGATTCAGGAGTGTTATCACCACCTCTGAATCTTGCTATTGTGCATTCATGATGCCAAATTCCAAGCAATCAGTGGAGCTTTGAATAGGATCAGATTTTTAAAAGGTGTCTTTGTATTAAGGTATGACTTTATCCTAAGGAAATCTTTTCTAAATAAAGGAATTATCTGTTTAAATACGATGGGAATGTCACAGAATTTTCTGCCTCCAACTACATCACAGAAGTTTAGAGCTAGGACCTCTAAGGTCAACTGGTTCTAGTACAAACTCCTTATTTAACAGACAATGAAACTGAAACCCAAGGGACAGTGTGACTGGCCTGAGTTCATGCCAATGGTGAGTAATAGGAAGTTAAAAGAAAACCTCCAGTTCCTAGTTCAGCACAATACTTGGTACAAAAGTAGTATTATACTTTTGACATTGAGACATCGTCTCCCCAATTTTCCTAAAGATGGTGACATACATCAAATGTGCAATACTTCCCCAGTCACCACTACCTAGAAGAATTTACAAATCATACACGTACACACAACTGCTCGGGTAGGAACGTTCAACAGCAGTTTTTATTTAATGTTAAAAAGTATATGAACATCTAGTGAAAGTCTTAACTAGAGGCCTTGACACAGCTGAAGTTTATTAAGCTGCTAAAAAGTTATTTCAGTCAATATTTTAATAGATACAATTGGGGCATTCTCATCATAGAAGAGCTTACAAACACATATGCATACCTAAAAGTTATGGGCATGGCTATCACCACTTTGGACAAAAACAATTGTGGCATGTGATGACTATTACAAAATTCATTTAAAATTAGTTTGACAAACATATACCAGTGATAATTTTGTTACTTCGCTCAGTGATCTGAAACATGAATGCTACCACGAGGAAGAATTATGTTCATCTAAAATAACTAATGCACTTTAAGGGAGCCAACCTAATATTCACAATAAGGCAGGATTGGAACTTAAACCTCTTTTAACATCTTCAGATGTGGATGAGCTGAAACAAAACACTAAAGGTATGTTTGCAGCACTAGCAAGTTAGAAGGCACTTTGAGGTGACTCTTCTTCCCTTTCCAATGTCATTTTTCCAACAGCGGCCTCAATTTTAGCCTCTCAAACTCAGTGTAAAAAAAGACAGCGAAGGGGCTGCGGGCCATATTCTCACTTTAAAATCATTCTGATGCTTTGTACCTTGTAAGTGTTCAGTATTTGTTGATTTAATTATTTGTTGTTCCAATGCCAGAAAAAGAAATCATCTATGCTAACAAATCATACAGGGTGGAAACGCAACTCTCCCATGGGAGGTGTCTGATTTAAAAGCCTCTTTTTTTTTTTTTTTTTTTTTATTTTGAGAGAAAGAGAGAGAGAGAGAGAGAGAGAGACAGAGTGAGCAGGGGAGGGGCAGAGAGAGAGGGAGAGAGAATCCCAAGCAGGCTCTGTGTGGGACTCGAACTCATGAACTGTGAAATCATGACCGGAGCCGAAATCAAGAGCCAGATGCTTAACCAACCGAGCCACCCAGGAGCCCCTGACTTAAATGACTCTTGATGCATGTTTTCCAGATCATGGATGGCAAGCAGACCAACGCTCAGATCACTCTTCTCATTGACAATGCCAGGATGGCAGTGGATGACTTCGGCCTCAAGTAAGTTCCTTCTTCACTGTATTGTGGGGAATTGTCATTTGCTGTTTTTGTTTTGTTTTGTTTTGGGGGTTCATCTTGTTTTTGTTTTCTAAAGGAATTAACTTATCTCACCATTAGCCACGTGTGATATCTTTAAAAGAGAATTAAAAAGGCATAATAACAAATACTTGAATGGACCCTACTTTAATTTTTTTTTTCAACGTTTATTTATTTTTGGGACAGAGAGAGACAGAGCATGAACAGGGGAGGGGCAGAGAGAGAGGGAGACACAGAATCGGAAACAGGCTCCAGGCTCTGAGCCATCAGCCCAGAGCCCGACGCGGGGCTCGAACTCACGGACCGCGAGATCGTGACCTGGCTGAAGTCGGACGCTTAACCGACTGCGCCACCCAGGCGCCCCATAGACCCTACTTTAAACAAACTAGATGTAAAATACACTTTTGGGCATGGGGAAATCTGAATATGAACCAAGAATTACATGATGTTAAAGAGCTATTATTAGCTCTGCAGGTGTGATAATGTTATGCTTATTTAGAAAACTTTTGTTTTCATTTTTTTTTTCTTATTTTAATTCCAGCATAGTTAACATACAGCTTTACATTAGTTTTGGGTGTACAATGTAGTGATTCAATACTTCCATACATCACCCAGTGCTCATCACAACAGGTGTCTTCCTTAATCCCCATCACCTATTTCCCCCATTCCCCACCCCAATCCCCTCTGGTGACCATCAACATGTTCTCCATAGTTAAGAGTCTGCTCATCACTTAGATAACGTGTAGCTTCATTCTTAATGAAAATTCTTGTTTTAAAAAGATGTATTCCTGGGACACCTGTGGGCTCAGTCAGTTAAGCATCTGACTTTGACTTAGGTCATGATCTCATGGTTCATGTGTTCAAGCCCCATGTTGGGCTCTGTGCTGACAGCTCAGAGCCTGGAGCCTGCTTCGGGTTCTGTGTCTACCTCTCTCTCTGTTCCTCCCCCACTCGTGCTCTCTCTCTCAGAAATAAACATTAAAAAAAAAATTTTAAATGTATTCCTAAGTATTTAGAGGTGAAATGTCATAATGCCTATAGTTTAGGTTAAAATACAAAATATAGACAAAGCAAATTGTTAAGAGTTACTAAATCTAATTGATGGGTATATGGCTGTTTATTGTTTCATCTTCTCTAATTAAAAAACAAATAAACAAACAAACATTGAGTCACCATCACAGAAAAACCTGCATGAAACAGACATATGAGGGATAAGAGATTCACCTCTAAATGAAGGTGAATCCTTACAAGGCCGTGGCCTTCCAACGACAGGTGTATTCTTCTCTTCCTTCCAACCAAAGGTACGAAAATGAACACTCCTTCAAGAAAGATTTGGAAATTGAAGTTGAAGGTCTCCGAAAGACCTTGGATGATCTGACCATTGTCACAACAGATCTGGAACAGGAGGTTGAGGGGATGAGGAAAGAGCTCATTCTCATGAAGAAGCGCCATGAACAGGTAGGACTCCCTAGGAGCTCCTGGTAACCAGCACAGCTCTTAATCTGCACGTTCAGATGACTTAATAGCCACAGAAAAACCTACCATCTGAATGCTAGTCCTAGTATAGAAACATCTAATTTTTCCAGCTTTAAGGTTTTCTATGCAGTGTCAGATCCAATAGCTAAAATAAAATCACAATTGATGATAAATCAGCCAATAATTTTGCTAATATACAATGATTATCCAGACTTGTTTGTTAGTATGATACCATAAGAATAAATGCATGAGGTTGAACTTCCTTCATTGACCCAACATACAGCAAATTGGGGGACAGTAGAATGAAGAGAATCTGCCACTGACCAAGGTAAATAAAACTAGTGACAAAAACGAAGAATCTTAATTTCCAGAACCATGTAACTAACTTTGAAGAGGTTACATTCCATCTAAAGCCCCTGAGACTCTGATGCAATATGAGGAAAGCAATCCCTGTTTTAGGCAAACAAAATTGCTTATGAACATCAAAGGGCCTCAATTATGAAGAGCTGGTGAGACAATGACTTAATTAAACTTTTCCTATGGTTTCTTGGTTTTCATGATATCCTATGGGTGTCAACCCTATGGAATCATAATACGTGGCCAAGACGTTAAAAGTCTTTATACCTTTTGGCTTTGGGTTGCTAAACTGCTTCCCCAAAGCAGTAGCCTACAAACTGAAATGTTCAACTGTTGAATTGTGCCATCATTTCACCCAAGAATGTGTGCTGAAGAGTATTTTATGTGCTACAGAAGCAGAATTCTTTGCGAAACATTTTCAACCAGGGATTAAGTCAGTAATCACAGAGGCCATTTGATTACCTATCTAGTGTTATTTTTTATTTTATGGAGTTATAATAGAAAAAAGAATGTATGTTTTGTCATCAACAAATAATACCTGAGAAGCCAAACCAAACCAATAAAAGAATAACAACCACATAAGCTGAATTTTTAAAAGATCTGTTAACTGCTGCCAATCAACACACTTCTGGCCTTCTGATTCTCACAGCCGATTCATTTTTTTTTCCTGTTATTAAACAGGAAATGATAGAACGTCATGTGCCAAATGACTTCAAGGTCAATGTGAAGGTGGATGCAACTCCAGGAGATGATCTAATTAAGATCCTGGAGGATATGAGAGAGGAATATGAGTTTATAATAAAGAAGAAGCATCAAGAGTTGGACACTTGGTATAAAGAGCAGGTAAAGAAAAGGGGCTCAGACTTCCCAGAGGTTCCATTTCCATGTGGTCCCAATGTCAATGCCTCTGCCCTTTGCTTGGTCTCGCAGTCAGCAGCCATGGCGCAAGAAGTGGCCAGTCCAGCAGCTGTGCCAAGTAGCCAAAGTGACATCCATGAGCTGAAGCGCACTTTCCAGGCCCTGGAGATTGACCTGCAGGCGCAGTGCCACAGGGTGAGTCTGAGGAAAATCCTGGGTCAGGTCCCGCCTCTTCAACAGAACCTCTCGTGACCTCTCTCCTGGGCTCATCTCCCCAACTCCCTTGGGACATCTCTCACTTCCCATTTTCCATCCAAATTGTTCATGATGAGCATGATAATGAGAGCTATCATTTACCGCCGTGTCCACAATGTGCCACATGGTACGTCAGGGGGTTCATTATGTTAACTGTCATCAAACCTCACATTAACCTTTCCAGGCAGGTCTTTGTGTTCTCATTTTAGAGATGAGAAAACAAAAGTTCCAAACAGTTAAGTAAATTGGCCAAGGTCACATAGATAGTAAGTGGCCAGTGGTGAAGCCACCTGGTATTTGGGGGCAGGTGCGGGGGTCTAGGAGGCCCTCATAATCTCTACCAGCCCTCTCCCCGCTCGGCAACCAGGCCGCCCCCTGAAACCCCAATAAAAAGAAATCCTGGTGCCAAAATGAATTGGTGGCAAATCCAGGCCTGGCTCACTCCGAAGTACCACTCTGTTCATTATGTATATGTCTAATCACCCAGTGAACTATAAATTCTTATATATAAATCATTTCTAGAATTTTCGTGGTTTTTAGTAAAATGCTTTGTGTGAAGTGTCACAAGCACTCAAGATTCATTAAATAAAATCTATCATTTGATTACCTTTGTAGCCTATCCAAATCTTCTGATCATTCATCAATATCATTTCCAAGGGCTACTCTGCCCTTGGTCTTGAGGAGAAATCACTGGTTTATTCTGTTGCAGATGCACATGGTAAATTACTGTTACGTTTTAGGAATAAGTGACGGTAAAGAGACATTTAAAATGTACACTGTCAAGGTGATAATAATGAGCAAAGAAATAATTACAGTGTTTTATAGTTTTCAAAACATTTAGACATGCAGTATTTCGCAACAACCCTGTGAGGTCAGCAAAACATTTATATCCATTTTCATTCATTCTACCATCTGCTACTGTTCTGAGTGCTGAGGATTCTACAATAAGAGAGTTGACACTCTAGTGGGGATGACAGTCAATAAAGGCACAGATCATCAAAATATGTAGTATGTGAGATGGCAAAAAGTGCTGCCAATAAATAAAGCACGGCAGGGCGAGGTCAGGCATTCTGGAGTGCAGGACTGCCATTTTAAACAAGGTGTTCAGGAAAGGTTTCACTGTTAAGGCGACAGTTGAAGTGGTAAGAAGGCGCATCGTGTGGCAATAGAGAGGGGGTGCCAGGGGGAGAGAACAGTAACTGCGAAAGCCATGATGTACAGGTGCGTGGGTCGGGTTGGAGGATCAGTAGGGAAGCCAATGTGGCTGTAGTAAATGAACAAAGGGAAGAAAAAAGGAGAAGAGAGGACGGAAGGGAAGGGGAGGCCACTGGGGTAACAGTGGAGTCAGACTGCGCAGCCTTCACCCTCAGAGGGAGGTCAAGAGGAATTTAGAACAGCAGATATGGACAATTCTTCAAGGAGCTTTGCTATAGGTGAAGGGGAGCAGAGAAATCGGATGACAGCTGAAGGCAGATAAGGAGTCAAGAGAACAATTTTAAGATGGGAGAAATTACTCTATTTGACAGATGGGAAGAAGCCGGTAGAGAGGAAAATACAGGTGATGCAAGACAGCGGGCAACGGCTGAAATGACTGGAGAACAGACAGCTCGTGCCAGGTACCAGGAGGGGAGTGAGAACCTGGTACCAGGGGGGCACTGAGAACCTGGAAGCAGATTCACGTATGTGGGCGGAAATAATGGTGGGAGCCTGTGGGAATCCTCTCCTGATGGCTTTCGTTTCCGTAACAACATAGGAAGTGAGGCCCTGGGCTGAGAGACAGGAGAGGGAAGACAGCAGCCCTTTGGGAGAACAGGAGAGGGAGGGGAGCAGAGCAGGCGGCATGAAGGGCCCCCCTGAAAGTTAGCAGCTGTGATAAAGTGACAGCATCCAGCAGAGTAAGGGATTTCTCCTGAAGATTAAAGTTCTGCGCTCCAGAAAAGCGGGTGGTAAATCCAAACAGAGCAGGGATTTAAGTCAGTTCTCTGTATCCTAGAGCAGCAACTTCAATGTGCAGCTTTTAAAATTTCCTCAAAAATGACAACCTGTTTCCATTGTCATCATCAATAAGCATGGCTTGGGACTATGGTTGCCAGACTGACCAAAATTAAAATACAGGACATCCTATTACATTTGAATTTAGGGGGCACCTGGGTGGCTCAGTCGGTTGGTTGAGTGTCCAGCTTTAGCTCAGGTCATGATCTCGCGGTTCATGAGTTCAAGCTCCACATGCGGCTCACTGCTGTCAGCCTGTCAGCGCAGAGCCCTCTTCGGATCTTCTGTCCCCCTCTCTCTGCCCCTCCCTGACTTGCACTCTCCCAAAAATAAAAAACAAAAAATTTGAATTTTGGATACGCAGCACAGTTTTTTTTTTTGTTTTTGTTTTTTTAGTGTAAGTATATCCCATGCAATATTGAGGCAATTTTTAGGATATACATGTACTAAAAAATTACTCGTCGCTCGTCTGAAATTCAAATATAACGAGGTGCCCCCTATTTTATCTGGCACCCCTACTTGAAACCCTTCTCTGAAGACACAAAGAGACGGGGTCCCAGTTGCTATTTCCCCAGGAGGTTTAGATTAGGCCAGAGATAAAATGGACATATGCTCAATCGCAAAAGAGCAGCACATACAGTAAACGCTACAGGAATGCGGCAAAGTTGCCAAGAGCTCCCTGCCACAAACAAATGCCCATAAAATGGGCTTCAGAAGTCCTGACTCTAGTCCACTCCTCACTGCCCAAGCCCCAACCCTGGGAGTCAGCCAGCTGCCCACCTTTGCACCCCCGGCAGCCACCAAGACACCTAGCAGAGTGGTCGGTGTGTTCTAACTACTCAACCAGCACACGTTGTTCAATCTATCAAGTCATCGGTCAGTTAGTACAAGAAACCTCGTTTCCTCTTTCAGAAATCTGCTTTAGAGAACATGCTGTCAGAGACCCAGTCCCAGTACTCCTGCCAGCTCCGGGACATGCAATACGTCATCTCCCACTATGAGGATGAACTGACACAGCTACGCCATGACCTGGAGCGGCAGAACAATGAATACAAGGTCCTCCTGGGCATCAAGACCCACCTGGAGAAGGAAATCGCCACCTACCACCAGCTCCTGGAGGGAGAGAGCGAGGGGTAAGGCAAAGGCCGGCTGGGGAGGAGGACAAAAAGGGCACTGAGTTTCTGTGTGTGCATTCATATACCTCATACCTGTTATGCCTGTTAGCGAGCATCACTCCAGAGAAAGAAAGGTTTGTGATGAATTTCTTCTGGATATTTAACATCAGGTTGTATCTAAGTAGCATATGTGAATCAATCAGCTATTACTCCCAAGACACTAAGATTTAAGGTCCATCGTTAAAATTAATATATTAAGATCTCTAGAAAGAAACAACTAAGGGGGCAACTGGGTGGCTCAGTAAGCTAAGCATGTGACTCATGATTTCGGTTCAGATCATGATCTCATGGTTCATGAGATCGAGCCCCTCGTGGGGCTCTGTGCTGACTGCAGAGTCCGCTTGGGATTCTCTCTTCCTCTCTCTCTGTCCCTCCCTCTCTCTGTCTCTCTCGCTCTTACTCTCTCTCAAAATAAATAAACTTAGAAAGAAGAAAAAGAAACAACTAGGAAGGCTTGACTATAGTGTTTCCCACTGGAAATGTATACAATTTTGGTTCTGGGGAAAAAAAAAAAGGAAGGTTGGTGGAATATTTTAACCTGACAGCAGGAAAAGATTCATAAGAGATTGAGAAGTCTAGATTCTTCAATCCAGTATTTCCAACCAATTTAGGAAATGACAATAATTGTTCAGAAAAAAAAGGGCACATACATTCTATGACCCAAGAGAAAGGATGAGAAATTTTTTTAATGTTTATTTATTAATTTTGAGAGAGAGAGAGAGAGAGCACGAATAGGGGAGGGACAGAGAGAGAGAGGGAGAGAGAGAATCCCAAGCAGATTCTACAATGTCAGCACAGAGTCCAACACAGGGCTTGAACTCATGAACTGTGAGTTCATGACCTGAGCCGAAATCAAGAGTTGGACACTTAACTAACTGAGCCACCCAGGAGTCCCAGAAAATTTTTTAAATACATAAATAGGGGGGCCCAGCTGGCTCTCTTGGTAAAGCATGTGGCTCTTGATCTCGGAGTCATAAGTTCGAGCCCCACTCTGGATATAGAGATTGCTTAAGTAAACTCCAAAAAATAAAATAAATAAAAATACATAGACCAAATCTTGAACAGTCTGAAAAACAGTTCTAAGCTTCAAACCCAGACCCTGGAAAGGATCTCAGTCGAGGCAAATCCTGCAGCCAACTGAAACGATGGAGGTGGTTTGATAGACTTGTCTTGACCCTAGGGTCCATGTGAGGCCATACTCACTTTCTTCTGGATCCAGGAAGGTTTGCCCATGAACTCATGACCTTGAGACTACAGAGCTTGGACAATTATCCTCATTAAAGAGCTATGAATTTATAGGCAGGCAAAGGAAGTTAGTTCACCTTGAGGAGTTTTTATGATTGTTGCTAACGCTAAAATGAGCCGTAACTCTTATCATTTTTATAGGACGATGGAAGAATCAAAGTCAAGTGTGAAAGGTAAAAAAAAGTCTTTTCATCATTTAAATTTTCTTTTTAAAAATTAATCAGCATGTTTATTAATTCTCTAGTAGTCATAATCTTTACTGTACTCCCAAATATCTTGTGTTCAATTTTTATTTTACTTCCAAATGTCCAGGAATTTTTGAATGAACTTAAAGTAGATAACAGGAAAACAGGGATCTGTCAGTATTGTCTTCAATAATATATACGCAAGGTCTCTGCCAGCAATAAAGTAGATAGCAATGATCATTCACATTATTACATCTCTGTTAAGTTATGGAGTCTGTTTACTAAACTCCTAGGAAATTAAGAGAAAATGATTTCACATAATTTCCCAAACTATATTCTGTTGAACACTAGTGTTCCGTGAAACTTGTTGCATATTATGAAAGATGTGTTCCATGGACAGAAATGGTTGGGAATACCGTATACCACTATCCTCTTAACGAACAACATGGAACAGATACTGCTGTGGGGAAGAAAATAGGAAAGAGAAAGAAACAACAAAAATTTTACTTGGCTTAACTCGGTGTTGCCAAATATCTTTGACCTGGGAGCCCTATTTTCTCAGATTGCCTGTAACATCTCACAGAAAAGTTCTAAGAAGCCCCCATCTGGGACGAGCAGCACTTTTCTGATCAGTTTGTGGTAAAAGTGTTCTAAGGTCTTAGAGATTCAGAGAGTCAGGGTTCTGGGCACCATCATGGGCAGCTTGTGTAACTGCTACCTCTTTGCAAGATATTGACAGATGGTCCTTCAGCCTCTCCTTACCATGTCCAGGGACAGGGAACTCATTACTTGATGGAGTGGCACAATCTATTGTTGGAGAGGTTTGATTTTTAACAAAGGTCTCCCCACGTCTCTATTAATTTCAAGTCTTCCCTTTGGTCTAGAATCAGTTTTCTGCCGTGTCAACAAAGCACATATTCAAATAAATCATAACTTTGAAAACAGTGGGCATGATAAACAGCCCTGGCTTCTCATCCATCCCTCATGCTTTCTAGATCTTTAAATGAGGTGCTCAGAATGGCATTTAATGCGCTGTTCGCTCATAGAATCTGTGGTACAAGTGGAACAAAAGCAGGAAGACCTCCTCCAGGATGTGTAGTCAGGGACTAGATTCTGTATCAGTCATGCCTAGGATGAAGGTCTTGGCCCCTAGAAGATGACACTATTCACACACCCTTGTTTCCTGGAGGGTGAGATGAAAAACCTTCCTTGGTGAGATCTCTTCCTCCAGCAGAACCTGCCATATTGCTCAGAGATTATGTTGGAAGGGATGGAGAAGTTTCAGGTACTAAGAGCAGGGAAATAAAAATAAGTATTTCAGATGGTGGCAGGAGCATGATAGTGACCTCTTCATTGCCTTTTCCCTTCAGCATCTGCAGCTCCAAAGATCAAGGCCATCACACAGGAGAGCATCAACGGAAGAATAATTCTTTCTCAAGTGAATGAGATCCAAAAGTATGCATAAAGCCAAAAAAAGTTTCTGCCTATTGTAAGGGCTACTTTTCCCCAATAGAAATCTTTGCCCAGAATGATGGGTGAGTCCTAAGAGGTATCCTTGGAGTTTTCAATCTCAGAAACTTTTTCCCCCTCTGGAACAATGTCACCAGACATTCCATAACAACCTTAATATACTGCTGCACTTTCTGAATCACAGTATGAGTTCATGAGCATAAAGGTCTACTTTACTACTACAGTCTTCAGATTGCCATCACTGTGTATCTGTTTTGTAGCCAATAAAACTTTACACCTGGTGCATCATGTCTTTGTTTATGTCACATCATATTTATGTCATTGTTATATCAATGTCTCATCCTAACAAGGGATTCTCTGGGTATTGTCCATGAAAGAAAGGGAGCTTAATGCTTTGAACATGTCTGCAGCAGCCAAACACTGGGCAGAATTGCTACCTTGCAGATATGCAACCAAGGGAAAGATGTGGCTCATGAGGCTCTCCACACCTCTGCCAGCAGAAGGGAGAAAACAGAGAAAGGGAGGCCTAAGAAAGCCTCGCTGAGAATGTAAGATGACCAAACAGTATTCTGTCTCACATACAGGCATACCTACATAACCTTAAGGGCCTAAAAGAAAGTTAAAGCTAGAAAAGAGAAGTCAGGGGCACCTGGGTGGCTCAGTCCATTAAGCATCTGCCTTCTGCTCAGGTCACGATCTCATCGGTTCATACGTTCAACCCCTGGTAGAGCTCTCTGCTGTCCACACAGAGCCCGCTTCAGATCCTCTGTCCCCTTCTCTCTCTGCTCCTCCCCCACTGTTTCTCTCTCTCTCAAAAATAAATAAATAAAAACTTTAAAAAATATATTTAATTTTTTTAATGTTTATTTATTTTTGAGACAGAGAGAGGCACCATATGAACAGGGAGGGTCAGAGAGAGAGGGAGACACAGAATCTGAAGCAGGCTCCAGGCTCTGAGCTGTCAGCACAGAGCCCGACGCGGGGCTCGAACTCACAGACCGCGAGATCATGACCTGAGCGGAAGTCGGACGCTTAACCGACTGAGCCACCCGGGCACCCCTAAAAAATATATTTAAAAAGAAGAAAAGGGAATTCAGAAAAAAAAATCCTCATTACAAACAGCCACTAAGACCCTAAAAGGGGAAATGACTTGTCTAAGACCTGAAATGCAAATGTTAGGGTCCGGGTTATTATGTTGAGGTGGAGTATGGGCTGATGCACAAAGACTATGCCCCTCTGTCCTCTCAAAAAGATGCTTTTTTTTCTCAAATTGTAGCAGTGTGAGCCATTGTTCCAAGACTGGTACAGAGGAGCAGTGCTGGAGAAAAGGGAGGCAGAAATCCATATATCTGCTAAGGTGTTACCGGAATGCTGTCCATGGAATTAACAATTCCAGGATATTCACAATTTAAGGGATCACAAGCACAGGCTAGTCAAACTCTCCCCTTTAACAGACAAATAAACTGAGACCCAGGACAATAAAGGCATTTACTCAAACACTCACTGGATTGTTGCTGGTCTAAATCTAGCTCTCTTGACTGTTAACCAAAGTTAACTAACACTTGTTAAACTGAAAGTGGTATGAAGTAGTTCCACTGTCATCTACCACATCGGCAATGCCCCGTATGTTTTTTTCTCTGTGTTTTAATACTTTCTCGGAAAGGATTGCTTTTGATGTTTCCTGAACGAGGCATCTGTTAAAACTGAACTGGTCTTCCCTTTAAGCAATAATTGGTGTTTCTTATTCTTAATGTCCAAATAATGGAAAACCAACCCCTAACAATCTGAAATTAGACAAAAGGAACCTGGGATGATCACATTATTACAAAAATGTTTATTGGTTTAACTGAAATACACTAATTCTCTGAAGTAAAATTATAACTTTATCTTTACTATCTTTTACATCAAAGAATGTAAAAAATAACCGGTACACTAATACTGTCAATGAGTTTTCTTTGCACAGTATTTGTCTGTGGAGACATTCGATGTTTGGGGGACAAGAACAGACTCATATTAGACTTTATTATTTCTCTTTTTCGATTTCATTTTACTATGAAATAGGGTACTATTCATATGTTAATAGGGTACTAGACTGTCAAGACAGACCTAAAAATGATTTTTTTTCCATTTTAGCACCAAAACACTCTGCAATTTTAGACATTATCTCTTTCTCAAAGTATGCATTAAATATATATATATAAATAAAGTATGCATTAAATATATATTTTTTTCTCAAGGTGAAGTTTGAGTACTGTTAGCAAAATCTTTTGAAGAATATTCAAAAAATATGACAAGCTGAAGGGAAAGTTACAACACTAGGCTCAGAAAATAATCACTAATCTTCCATTTACTCTCCTAATTTATATATGATTTGGTAACAGGAAATCATAACATATGAATAATTTTTCATTCAAGAGGTTAAAATATCCTTAAAGTCTTATTAATTTTTACTGTATCAATTAAGGTGACAAATTTATCCCAGTTTGCCCAGGAAACCCCTCAATTGGGGGTGGTTGGGTACCCTGTTAATAAAGAAATCATTGCTCTTGCCTTAGTCCATTCAAGTAGCTATAAGTATACATAGACTGGCTTACAAACAACAGAAATTTATTTCTCACAGTTCTGATGACTTGGAAGTTCAAAATCAAGGTACCAGCAGGGTTGTGTCCTGGTGAAGACCCTCTTCCTGGTTCATAGCTTGTGTCCTCAAATGGTAGAAGAGGCCAGGGAGTTCTGTAGGGTATCTTTTGTAAGAAGCTTAAAGCCATTCATGAGAGTTCCACCCTCATGACCTAGGCAACTCCCAAATGCCTCACCTCCTAAAACCCTCATCTGTGGGGGTTAGGACTTGAACATTTGAATTTTTTTTAGGCCACACCATCTCTATTTCACTAACTAGAGACAAACAGAGAAATTAAACCATTTGCCTGAATAAAGAGACAATTGCATGCTAGACAACATAGAATAACCTCTTCTCCACATCTAAATCAGCCCCAAAATATTTCAAAGTACCATTACAAATTGATTATTAGTGCCTGCATGTTTAGGTGAGTAACTAACCACAGAAGTTTTCATTTGGATTTGGTTTTGGCCAACACACACCCAATGCACATAAAGGAGTTGATAATAAGTTATATTGTTTTTGTTACAGGAACACTTTGAGTAAATAGCAACTATTCCATTACCCAAGACCCAACTAAACAAACAGTTGACTAACCCAGAGAGATACAAAATATTACTTTGGAATTTAATATTTATGGCAACATATTTCCCAAGAGTGCCATAACATGGTTGAGTGGATAGATCCATTTAATATGTGTCCATCCAATCAAATACATGCCTTTACTATGTGTTTTTCAATTAATGCTTTCATACACCCACCCTGTTAATAATGTGTGAAACTGAGAACTAAACTTCATAAAAATTCATTATTGAGGAATGTAGCAATTGTATGTTGGGGGAGAGGTCATAAGCCTGAGCAGGGGGCAAGGACTTGAATTACTGTAGGAAAACATGGTAAGAGAAAGAGATCCAAGAAAGTTTCTTGAGGGCAAAGGTTCTGAAACTTGGCTGCATTTCAGGATCTCCTGGGGAGATTTAAAAATGCTAATGCCAAGGCCACATCATGGATCAATTAAAACATGGTTTTTAAAGGTTGGGACCCAGGCACCCATATATTTGAAAGATCCCCATGTAATTACAACATTCAGCCAAGTTTGAGAACCTGCTGCTTTGGGAGCTTCAGGTGAGTACTTCTGTATTTGTTTGTATGTTCCCCATATGCTAATTGTGTCATACTCTCCTAAGAATTAATGACAACTACTAGAAAACTAAGAGCCTCTTCCATGTCATTCCCAAATGCTTGTGAATAGAGTTTCATTTTACCAGATTGGAGAGAAGTCCTTCCAGGAAACACACACACACACACACACACACACACACACACACACACACACAAACTCTGGAAACTTACTTCCACCTAATCTTAGTAAAATCCCTTTCAGTTGCTTAATCAAATATTTTACCAAAGTGTTAGGCTCCTGTAATGAGCTTCTATGATGAAAATTGGCTGTGTTATTTTAGCCTCTTTCTTCCCTTTACCTCTTACCTTTTTTCACAGCAAAGCAAAATAATAACACATGCAGATAAGAGATTTGTGGGGAAAAAGCTCTGAGCCAAGTGACAAAAAAACTTAATTTCAGGATCACCTAAGTAAATCTTTCCTTAAGGAAACATCAGATTGTTTTAGTATTTCCCAAAAGCACATTTTACATTACTCTAATAGTGAATCAGGCATCACACAGAGTTTAAATAAAAAAATAGCAGCATTAGAAGAAAGCAGCAATCAATTGATTGAACCTTCTTGTTAAAGAGCTGAGGAAGCCAAAGTCTAGAAAAATTAACCTAGCCCTCCTGGGACTCAGATCTCATTGCTACCTATATGTAGCATCCCTGACATATGGAAATTTCAGAATTGAAAAAAAGCATCACACAATTTTTTAAACACATAGCAAATTAAAAACCAGAATTCTAGAGGAGCCTGGGTGGCTCTGTCAGTTAAGCGTCCAACTTCAGCTCTAGTCATGATCTCACAATTTGTGGGTTTGAGCCCCACGCTGGTCTCTGTGCTGACAGCTCAGAGCTGGAGGCTACTTCAGAGTCTGTGTCTCCCTCTCTCTCTATTCCTCCCCCACTCACACTCTGTCTCTCTCTCTCAAAAAATAAGTAAAAATTTTTTAATTAAAATAATAATAATGATATTAATTCTAAATGTGTGAACTATTAAAAAGCCAAAATAGTTAAGGTATGAGCTTTTAAGATGGGACCAATTTGTAAAAATGCCAATAATCATAAGAAAAAAGTAAGCCTGAGATAGGAACTAAAGGTTGGATGTTTTTATTTTCTTTACAAATGGTCTTAACTAAATTATTTAATGCAGACTTTATGTAGCATGAAGATTTTTTTTAATGTTTACCTTGTATCAAATAATTTGGCATACCATTTCTTTGGGATAAAAATAACATAATTCCAAAAATACATCTTATGGAAATTAAGCAATAGTGATTTAGTCATTCACAGTAGAAAATGGATACTAAATAATAGTATTATTTTCTGAGTAGCTAGTAGATACCGATGGCCCCAATGAACCCACATCACCAGGACTCAGGCCTTTCCATAGTCTTTCCCACATCTACTTTGAACTTGACAATGTGACTTGATCTGGCCAATGAAACATCAGCAAGCATGACACAAGCAGGCATTTAATGAATGCTTACACATTGGAGCTT